AAGTTAAAGCCTGGCCCAGAGGTGCCCATCTTTAGTGGAAACAGCTGTAGAGTTAGTGTCGCTGATCAGGTGGGAGGCTCTTTGAAGCAACATGTTGCTTTTTTAAAAGGAAATTGAGCATGTGAGAACTTGAACCTGTAAAATGCATCAGCAGGCTCTCCCATTGTTTCTCTGTAGTGTAACTCTATATAGAATTAAAGTGAAACACACTTTTTTTCCTTTTGTTTCCAAGAAAGAATGACTTAGGGCACCCCTCCTCTTTTTTTGGAGACGCATAGGAAATGACCACATAACCACAACTACTTCCTAGTGGGATGATGATGAGTGACAAATTATCCACAGTAACAGTTTCTTAACCCGGCAGGATAAAAACTTAAATGTAGCTTAGGCTTCTGTTTAAGTTTTAAAACCAATGTTTACAGGCAAAAACCAGCCAGGAAAAAGCAGACTCACCATAAATAGTGGTTTCTGTGGGTGGGGAGAATATCTGAACACTTCTTACTGTTCCTGATCACAACATTTCCCACCAGTTGAGAGTTCAGCATTGTTTCTAGCCCATTCCCCAGTAGGGAGCAGAGTGAAGCTTGACAGCCTTTTGGATTGGGAGCAGTGATCAACGAAACTCAGATTCTCCCTCTTTAGCTTCATATTTGTGAAACTTCCTCCTCATGTAGATGATAAAAAGCATTAACAGTAACAGACTTCTGCCTTCACCTACCTCTCTCACTCCCTAGATCTACCAGCTAATCCAAACCTCTTACTCCATTTTCTAGTACGGATCTGCCATTTTAGAATCATAGAATCATAGAATATAAGGGTTGGAAGGGACCCCAGAAGGTCATCTAGTCCCACCCCCTGCTCGAAGCAGGACCAATTCCCAGTTAAATCATCCCAGCCAGGGCTTTGTCAAGCCTGACCTTAAAAACCTCTAAGGAAGGAGATTCTACCACCTCCCTAGGTAACGCATTCCAGTGTTTCACCACCCTCTTAGTGAAAAAGTTTTTCCTAATATCCAATCTAAACCTCCCCCACTGCAGCTTGAGACCATTACTCCTCGTTCTGTCATCTGCTACCATTGAGAACAGTCTAGAGCCATCCTCTTTGGAACCCCCTTTCAGGTAGTTGAAAGCAGCTATCAAATCCCCCCTCATTCTTCTCTTCTGCAGGCTAAACAATCCCAGCTCCCTCAGCCTCTCCTCATAAGTCATGTGTTCCAGACCCCTAATCATTTTTGTTGCCCTTCGCTGGACTCTCTCCAATTTATCCACATCCTTCTTGAAGTGTGGGGCCCAAAACTGGACACAGTACTCCAGATGAGGCCTCACCAATGTCGAATAGTTTACTCATCTTCCAGATGAAATAGGATGGAGTAAGCATCCTCAAAGATGAACATCATGTCGTTCCACAGGAGGCAGGCCTAAACCAGATCTCCTGTCCCTTCCCTGAAACCCAGGCTTGTCACCACTGTGACGTGTTTGAATTTCAGCAGCCCAGATAATGAGAGCTTCTAGCTTTCTTCCTAACCCAGGTCACCTATTTAGTCTGCTGCACTCCCACCAAAGCAGTGAGCTCAGTAGGAATATGTTCCTGTCCCTAGCAGAATATATTTTCCTTTCTGTATTAAAATGTCTAATATGGCTTCGCCTTGCTGCGTAGTGTGGAAAGATGTGGGTTCCGTTCCTGGCCCTGTATTGCTCTCTACTTGTACAGGCAGTGCCTTTGCATGTTCATTCTATAGTTTCCCTACCAGCCAGCTAAGAAACAGCATTGATGGGTTTCTGTTTAGGCCAGTGATTGAGTGGGGGAAAAACTGAGGGGAATCTTAGTGGTTCCAACAAAGATGGAAGACTCCTAAAGGTGAGGGGACATGTCTGATATTATTTTGGGTTTATTTCTCCCCTGCCTGCCAAGTATATAATTCTTGTCACACCCTTCAAAACTTACCCCTTTGCCACAGCTGTGGCAAAGAGGAATATGGGTTTGACCGACAGCATGGAAATGTGGTGACACTAGCAACTACTTGGGCATTGCGTGTGGCTGATGTAGAATTTGTCATTCTGCAAATAATTTCTCATTGATTACCTAACTGTTTGGATTGGCAGAGAGAATTCCTCTTGGACAGAAAGTATAAAGCAGTATCGCTGCATGACCACCCTTCTCAGCTGGACAGTTCAAACAACGCCTAGTGCTGTCTGTCCAATTTCTTGAAGTAATCGCTTTCAGTTCAGATTCAGATTTTATAGTCCAGCAATCAAACCAAAACAAAAAGACAGCATAGCCCCATATGGTAGGAAAGGATCGTCAGAAGGCGCCCGGGATCAGGAAGCCAAACAGTTTGTCCGTTTGATGAATACTCGTAGATTGTTTATGCTATTAAGGATAATTACTTTCTGTTGGAGCCAACACCAGCTGTGCTGTTGCAAAGGTACTGAAGAGAAGCTCCAGTTGGGGAAAAGGCATAACTGAGCCATTGCTAATGGCGACCCACTATTTATCTCCCAGATTGTACATCACTGACCAGAGTTTTTATATACAGTCTGAATGGTTAGAGTTGTTTACACAAGATTCTAGTAAGTATTGTGTTTGATAGTGTCCCCAATTCAGAAAATGCATGAAAGTCTGACCAGGCGTCTAAAGAGCTCTGAGGAGTTCAGGTTATTTTTTTAAGCTATGCAAACTGCACATGGTTGAGGAGAATGAAAATCTGTCCTTCTGTGAAATGTTCAATTGCGAAGATGTCTGGGGGTTTGATGTCAGGACCACTTGGCAAGCTGTCATCAAACCTCTTCCCTTGAAGTTGCATGTTTTGAAATCCTGCCCTGTAATAACCATAATGCCTTGGTAAAGTAGTTACCTCTGCGATAATTGGTTCTGTTGAAACGCTGTAGTAGAGTGAAGAGAGCTTTCAGAAACCAGTCTTGTTTCTAGCTCTCGTTCTAACAGGATAACTTAGGTTTTCTGAGAGCAAAGGTCAGTTGTCTCTGTTCAGACCAAGTCATTATCTCACCTCCTAAAATGCAGTGTTTTTCTATAATAAAAGCACTTGTGATGCTTCACAGATTATTCGCTAAGGCAGCGAAGTGCAGAGCTGCTTATTGGAGCAAAGAGTGATGAAAGAGTGGGAGCTGTCATTACTTATTTTTTCTTTGCAGGCTGTGTAAGTTGGCCTGGGGAGTGGAACAAACTAAAAAGGGGACTCAGCCCACACAGAAGCGGCTGTAGATGTATGCGATTTTTGGGGGTTGTCCACTCTAGGTCCTGGGGCCATTTTGCTTAGCTGTTTTAAGTCCCAACCCGCAGTGAGAATATAAGGTGGCCCTTATTCAGTGATGCATGTAGTAGGAACCATTCTTTAGTACAATATAATCCTTTTAGGTGCAGACAGTAAATGATGAGATCTAATAACTTTAAGAAGGGTGGGGTTTTTGCTTAAAAAAAAAAAAAAACTAATTCAAGCCCAGACACTTTCTTTTTTACTTCTAAGTGTGTTTGAAACTTTTGTTCATTGGCTAAATAAGTGCATATGTGGCTGAATTTTGCTATTCTACCTTTGCAGTCCCCTCTAAAGTCAGTGGCCTTGCCCAGGTAATTGAAGGCAGAACTTTCCCATTGAACTAGAATTTTTAGCTATTTTGTTTAATGGTTCTTGAAATAACAAAAATCTACTGACAACTTCCCCAGCTCTTCACGAAATTCGGAATATTCATCTTCCAGGGAAAAGAATTTTCTTTGAGTTACAGAAGCGTTTTTCTGAAACACACTAAATAATTTCCCAAGTGGTGATGGAGAAATTCTGAGCTGTTACAACTCAATCAGTGTAAGTCCAGATCCATGCTCTGGTTGTGGGAGCCTTGGGCGCATGGGACCCCCACAACGAGCTGAGAGTGAGTGGAGTCGGTCGGCGCTACACCTTTCTCATGAGACAGCTCATGGTGTCCGATCAAGCGGTCCAGAGACATCTACACGGAGCACATCAAGCGGTCCAGAGACATCTACACGGAGCACATCACGGGCCACTGTCAGTACTAGGACAAGTAAACGAGACCACTGGTCAGGGAAAATAACCCCCTTCCTCCCCTGATGAACCAAGGGGACGCACCCCACCCATGTACCTATTTGCTACCACAACACTGACTTGGACTCTAAATACATTCTATGGGTGGCAAGACCACTTTTTCACTGACACTTTAAAAACTCCTGCACCCCAATCTGGGTCTTTGCTGGTTGTGTGCTATGTATGTATCTTGTGAACCTTGCAACCAATACTTATAACTTCTCATAACTCAAGCCTGACCCCAGAGGTACAGTACCTTCCCTCTTAACTTGTGTAAATTTGATTTTAAACATTAGCTTTAATAAAATTTTTAAATCTGTCTAGGATGTGAAAAGTATTCCTTCCCAATCTGTTTAACTACACTGGCTAATGAATGCTGTGGATGTAAAAGAAAGCAGCCCAGAGCTTTCTTTTGTAAGATATAGAATAGTGGGAAGCATCATAAGTTTATTGCCCTGAGGACGCACATTGAAGTAGTTAGAAGTACTTACAGTACAATAAGATATTAATCTGCAAACCTAAAAGGGAACTAATTTAGTTTTGCAGTGAAGGTGTAACTGTGTGTCCTTGAGCTTTCTCTTCTGACAATGAAGCAAATTCTGATTCAATTGAAGTCAGTGACAAAATTTCCATAGATTTTGCTGGGACCAGGATTCACTCTCTAATAATAAGAAATGGGGGATATGTCATGGGATGATCTCTTGTATTTGTATGGTAGGTTTCTTAGGTATGTGTCTATATTTGCTTAAATCTAACTTTTAAAGCATTTTTTTAAAAGAAATATTGCCAAGCCTAATAACCTACCTGTTCTTTAGGTGTGGAGAAACCTAAAAGATTGGGATGGCATTCCTGAGCCAGAACAAGTAATTAATGAAAAGAATGGAATTGATTTCCATTTGTACATATTGTCTGACTTCCTCCTTTTATTGCAATTTTCTCTTTGCAGGTGCTGGTTTTGGATTAGGAATTGTTTTCTCAGTTATCTTCTTTAAAAGTAAGTATCCCTATGTGCTCAGCTGTTTGTTGTCATGATATTAGATTGTTTCGGTATGCCTCTTAAACAGAATTCTTTGAAGCGTGTAAATGTTAATTAGTATGTTATTCCAACGTGTCCATTACTTGTCCAAATAGATTAGTTGAAGTGAAATTAGCTAGACTTCGAACTGTGGTCAAACAAGGTCACTATATATGAAACATCTCCGAACTCAGGCTGGGCATGGAGTCAGGCTTCTGATTACAAAGCTCTGGAATTATGAGAGACCCTGCATCAAAATACTAATTAGCCACATGTCTAGACATCAGCCCTAACCCGTCCTGCGGGGGTTTTAATACTTTCTAGATAGTCTCCGCTCTCTTCATTTACTTTTTTTAAATTACTTTCTTGATACTAGAATAATCTTCAACTCTAAGCGCAGGTAGCAGAGCACATGTTGTTCCTGACTCTAGATTCTTCCTAGGCACAGAGCCGAATGACTTCAAAATGCAAACTGTGGCAGACTGGCAGGTTCTGTTTGCTCTGTTAACAGTGTTTTTTTCTTGTTTTGTTTTGTTTAATGGTATGATCTAAGTTATGAAATATTCTTCAAAATGCAGTTATTGTCAGAAAAATAACTGCTTTTCTACTCAGTAAACCTGCTGTTTGTGTGTATTGTTTGTCATTCTGGTAGAGGTGAAAGGACCCAGTCAGAGTTTTGGCCCCTACTAGGGCTCTGTATAAATGCTTACAACCGTGTCTGCCCCAAAGAGTTAACAGTAACTTTTACAACTTCTGTTAATGCTGCAGAGCCAATACAAGGCTGGATTCTATTCTGCTAACTGAATTCCAGTTGCAGGATCCTTTTATTACTGGTGATGCTTGCATGTGTTTTTTAAAAAAGGAAAAAAAAGAAAAAAACCCAACCACATACAGACTTTCAAGATTCTGGGTCAAACTCATCATGAAAGAAAAATCCTCTTCTTTTTAAGGTTTCAGAGGAACAGCCGTGTTAGTCTGTATTCGCAAAAAGAAAAGGAGTACTTGTGGCACCTTAGAGACTAACCAATTTATTTGAGCATGAGCTTTCGTGAGCTACAGCTCACTTCATCAGATGTATACCGTGGAAACTGCAGCAGACTTTATATACACACAGAGAATATGAAACAATACCTCCTCCCACCCCACTGTCCTGCTGGTAATAGCTTATCTAAAGTGATCAACAGGTGGGCCATTTCCAGCACGCCACTAGCGGTCACCTTCAGCCCCCAACTAAAACCCCTCCAACGCATTATTAAGGATCTACAACCTATCCTAAAGGATGACCCAACACTCTCACAAGTCTTGGGAGACAGGCCAGTCCTTGCCTACAGACAGCCCCGCAACCTGAAGCAAATACTCACCAACAACCACATACCACACAACAGAACCACTAACCCAGGAACTTATCCTTGCAACAAAGCCCGTTGCCAATTGTGCCCACATATCTATTCAGGGGACACCATCACAGGGCCTAATAACATCAGCCACACTATCAGAGGCTCGTTCACCTGCACATCCACCAATGTGATATATGCCATCATGTGCCAGCAATGCCCCTCTGCCATGTACATTGGTCAAACTGGACAGTCTCTACGTAAAAGAATAAATGGACACAAATCAGATGTCAAGAATTATAACATTCATAAACCAGTCGGAGAACACTTCAATCTCTCTGGTCACGCAATCACAGACATGAAGGTCGCTATCTTAAAACAAAAAAACTTCAAATCCAGACTCCAGTGAGAAACTGCTGAATTGGAATTCATTTGCAAATTGGATACTATTAATTTAGGCTTAAATAGAGACTGGGAGTGGCTAAGTCATTATGCAAGGTAGCCTGTTTCCTCCTGTTTTTTCCTACCCCCCCCCCCCCAGATGTTCTGGTTTAACTTGGATTTAAACTTGGAGAGTGGTCAGTTTAGATGAGCTATTACCAGCAGGAGAGTGAGTTTGTGTGTGTATGGGGGTGGGGGGGATGTGAGAAAACCTGGATCTATGCAGGAAATAGCCTGACTTGATTATGTAAAGAGTTGTCACTTTGGATGGGCTAGCACCAGCAGGAGAGTGAATTTGTGTGGGGGGGTGGAGGGTGAGAAAACCTGGATTTGTGCTGGAAATGGCCCACCTGTTGATCACTTTAGATAAGCTATTACCAGCAGGACAGTGGGGTGGGAGGAGGTATTGTTTCATATTCTCTGTGTGTATATAAAGTCTGCTGCAGTTTCCACGGTATACATCTGATGAAGTGAGCTGTAGCTCACGAAAGCTCATGCTCAAATAAATTGGTTAGTCTCTAAGGTGCCACAAGTACTCCTTTTCTTATTTTTAAGATGAGCAGATTTGATCTGGAAGGCACTAAGATATAATGGACCAGATCCTCAGCTGGTGTAAATTGGCATAATTGTTTTGAAGTCAGTGGAGCTATGCCAGTTGACACCAGCTGAGGATCTGGCACTGTGGGCTTATCAATACTTGTAGAGTACTTCTGAGATCCACAGATTGAAATTGCTAGTTTAATGTGACTTCTTTAAATACTGTACCATGGATTTATTCCCATTAGACTCTAAATTACATTTGTTGCTCTCTAATGCAACTTTCTAAGATTTTTTTTTTTAGGAGACTTCAGAATACATAGAACCTGAAAATGCACACTGCATGTTTTCCAGTAATCTACCACTTATTGCCATTATGTTTGATAAGAAGTTGTCATTATAGCTTGAAATTAATGCAGTGTTTCTCATTTTTATGTTCAATATCTCTTGTTTCTCTGCTTCTCTTCCACACAGGAAAGACATGGCCTATTGCATTTGGGTCAGGGATGGGGTTAGGAATGGCTTATTCTAATTGTCAGCATGATTTCCAGTCTCCATATCTTCTCCATGGCAAGTTTGTAAAAGTAAGTATTTGAGTAAAATGTGTGTAGGCATCATTCAGTGCTTAAATATTCCTGTCTAAAACAAGTGTAGAAGTAATACGTTGCCACTAGTTGGAGGAGAGCTCCTGTGTGTGGCATCTTTTTTTGTCAAACTTTTCAGATCCTTTCAAATATTCAGTGTATTTTTTTTTTTTTTACTTTACTTATGCTACATACCATCTCTCTTTGAGGGCATTGGAATCTCCACAGGATCAGTTTAGATGCTGCAGGTGGTTTTTCCACAATGTACAAGTGTGTAAGAAATATGGGAAAATTAATCTTACCATAAACGGCATGGCCCCAGTCTTGCAATCGGAACTATGAGGGGAGGATTTAATTGCCTGTAGGTAGCTCTTTTGACTTCAGTGGGGCTCTGCACAGGGTTCTGTACTGGTGGATCTGATTGAAGGATCAGGGCCTTAGTGTTTTCATGACGCAAACTAATAAAGTCTCCTTTGTCCTCAAGGATGTTAATGAACCATAGACTGTTTGATCATATGAATTTGGAATCATTAGAATCTAGACATGGCACAATTTAAAAAGGTGACTTTGGGTCCACCCTCTCTAAAGAGGGTTGTGTTGTAAGTGGCTTGGGGGAATACTGATACTAGCCAAGCGGCTGGTACAATTTAATCTAGTTTTATGATGTTAGGCATGATTATGGTCACACAAAGTGACCACCTTAGAATGATTTTTGCATTGGTGGTAAAAATCCCCCACTCCCTCACATAAAAATTAAACCTAAAAATAGGGATTATTTCTGTGGAATGCACAGAAAATATTGTGAAGGGATGCATCATTGAAAGCACTGAGATGACACAGTAGCAGAGGCATGCTCCTGAGCATGTGTAAAGTTACATTATAAAACGTCAAAGTGCTCACTTAAAACCTTCTGCCAGAAAACTTAGAAGTGACCTTTCAAAAGGGGGCTGGGGGAGGGAATCATAGAATATCAGGGTTGGAAGGGACCCCTGAAGGTCATCTAGTCCCACCCCCTGCTCGAAGCAGGACCAATTCCCAGTTAAATCATCCCAGCCAGGGCTTTGTCAAGCCTGACCTTAAAAACCTCTAAGGAAGGAGATTCTACCACCTCCCTAGGTAACGCGTTCCAGTGTTTCACCACCCTCCTAGTGAAAAAGTTTTTCCTAATATCCAATCTAAACCTCCCCCACTGCAACTTGAGACCATTACTCCTCGTTCTGTCATCTGCTACCATTGAGAACAGTCTAGAGCCATCCTCTTTGGAACCCCCTTTCAGGTAGTTGAAAGCAGCTATCAAATCCCCCCTCATTCTTCTCTTCTGCAGGCTAAACAATCCCAGCTCCCTCAGCCTCTCCTCATAAGTCATGTGTTCTAGACCCCTAATCATTTTTGTTGCCCTTCGCTGGACTCTCTCCAATTTATCCACATCCTTCTTGTAGTGTGGGGCCCAAAACTGGACACAGTACTCCAGATGAGGCCTCACCAATGTCGAATAGAGGGGAACGATCACGTCCCTCGATCTGCTCGCTATGCCCCTACTTATACATCCCAAAATGCCATTGGCCTTCTTGGCAACAAGGGCACACTGCTGACTCATATCCAGCTTCTCGTCCACTGTCACCCCTAGGTCCTTTTCCGCAGAACTGCTGCCTAGCCATTCGGTCCCTAGTCTGTAGCGGTGCATTGGATTCTTCCATCCTAAGTGCAGGACCCTGCACTTATCCTTATTGAACCTCATCAGATTTCTTTTGGCCCAATCCTCCAATTTGTCTAGGTCCTTCTGTATCCTATCCCTCCCCTCCAGCGTATCTACCACTCCTCCCAGTTTAGTATCATCCGCAAATTTGCTGAGAGTGCAATCCACACCATCCTCCAGATCATTTATGAAGATATTGAACAAAACCGGCCCCAGGACCGACCCTTGGGGCACTCCACTTGATACCAGCTGCCAACTAGACATGGAGCCATTGATCACTACCCGTTGAGCCCGACAATCTAGCCAGCTTTCTACCCACCTTATAGTGCATTCATCCAGCCCATACTTCCTTAACTTGCTGACAAGAATACTGTGGGAGACCGTGTCAAAAGCTTTGCTAAAGTCAAGAAACAATACATCCACTGCTTTCCCTTCATCCACAGAACCAGTAATCTCATCATAAAAGGCGATTAGATTAGTCAGGCATGACCTTCCCTTGGTGAATCCATGCTGGCTGTTCCTGATCACTTTCCTCTCATGCAAGTGCTTCAGGATTGATTCTTTGAGGACCTGCTCCATGATTTTTCCAGGGACTGAGGTGAGGCTGACTGGCCTGCAGTTCCCTGGATCCTCCTCCTTCCCTTTTTTAAAGATTGGCACTACATTAGCCTTTTTCCAGTCATCCGGGACTTCCCCCGTTCGCCACGAGTTTCCAAAGATAATGGCCAATGGCTCTGCAATCACAGCCGCCAATTCCTTCAGCACTCTCGGATGCAACTCGTCTGGCCCCATGGACTTGTGCACGTCCAGCTTTTCTGAATAGTCCCTAACCACCTCTATCTCCACAGAGGGCTGGCCATCTCTTCCCCATTTTGTGATGCCCAGCGCAGCAGTCTGGGAGCTGACCTTGTTAGTGAAAACAGAGGCAAAAAAAGCATTGAGTACATTAGCTTTTTCCACATCCTCTGTCACTAGGTTGCCTCCCTCATTCATTAAGGGGCCCACACTTTCCTTGGCTTTCTTCTTGTTGCCAACATACCTGAAGAAACCCTTCTTGTTACTCTTGACATCTCTTGCTAGCTGCAGCTCCAGGTGCGATTTGGCCCTCCTGATATCATTCCTACATGCCCGAGCAATATTTTTATACTCTTCCCTGGTCATATGTCCAACCTTCCACTTCTTGTAAGCTTCTTTTTTATGTTTAAGATCCGCTAGGATTTCACCATTAAGCCAAGCTGGTCGCCTGCCATATTTACTATTCTTTCGACTCATCGGGATGGTTTGTCTCTGTAACCTCAACAGGGATTCCTTGAAATACAGCCAGCTCTCCTGGACTCCTTTCCCCTTCAAGTTAGTCCCCCAGGGGATCCTGGCCATCCGTTCCCTGAGGGAGTCGAAGTCTGCTTTCCTGAAGTCCAGGGTCCGTATCCTGCTGCTTACCTTTCTTCCCTGCGTCAGGATCCTGAACTCAACCAACTCATGGTCACTGCCTCCCAGATTCCCATCCACTTTTGCTTCCCCCACTAATTCTACCCGGTTTGTGAGCAGCAGGTCAAGAAAAGCGCCCCCCCAGTTGGCTCCTCTAGCACTTGCGCCAGGAAATTGTCCCCTACGCTTTCCAAAAACTTCCTGGATTGTCTATGCACCGCTGTATTGCTCTCCCAGCAGATATCAGGAAAATTAAAGTCACCCATGAGAATCAGGGCATGCGATCTAGTAGCTTCCGTGAGCTGCCGGAAGAAAGCCTCATCCCCCTGGTCCGGTGGTCTATAGCAGACTCCCACCACTACATCACTCTTGTTGCACACACTTCTAAACTTAATCCAGAGACACTCAGGTTTTTCTACAGTTTCGTACCGGAGCTCTGAGCAGTCATACTGCTCCCTTACATACAGTGCTACTCCCCCACCTTTTCTGCCCTGCCTGTCCTTCCTGAACAGTTTATAACCATCCATGACAGTACTCCAGTCATGTGAGTTATCCCACCAAGTCTCTGTTATTCCAATCACGTCATAGTTCTTTGACATCACCAGGACCTCCAGTTCTCCCTGCTTGTTACCAAGGCTTTGTGCATTTGTATATAAGCACTTGAGATAACCTGTTGATCGCCCCTCATTCCCAGTATGAGGCAGGAGCCCTCCCCTCACAGACATTCCTGCCTGTGCTTCCTCCCGGTATCCCGCTTTCCCACTTACCTCAGGGCTTTGGTCTCCTTCCCCCGGTGAACCTAGTTTAAAGCCCTCCTCACTAGGTTAGCCAGCCTGCTGGCAAAGATGCTCTTCCCTCTCTTCGTAAGATGGAGCCCGTCTCTGCCCAGCACTCCTCCTTCATGGAACACCATCCCATGGTCAAAGAATCCAAAGCCTTCTCTCCGACACCACCTGGAATGGTCCTATGCCTTTTTTTGCTCCTTCATGATGGATAAAGAAGGGTTTTTCTGCCCGTTTTTTACCTCAAGAATATGAAGTCGAATCATCCCTGGATTTATTGAATGATTAGCCTTCAACAGGCTTTTACAGTCCTAGCAAATCCACCTGGTTCAGAATATTGTACTGGAAATGTGCTCTGCCATTGACTGTGTGCCAACCCTTTACATTAAAGAAACTTTTATATTGGATAAAAACATGGAGTAGCTGGCATCTTATATGAGTGAAACAAATGTAACCCCGTAATGTTCTAGATCCGTCTAGGAGTGTTTGCCACAGAAGTGTGTGAGAGGTTAACATAAAACCATTGTGGGGTGTTGTCTTATTTTTGTGGACTTCAGTCAGAAATAAATTGGAATGAAATTTCTCCAGTTTGGACTCTGGGTGTGTGAACACCCAATCCAGAAACTCTAGGAAACACTCTGTCCTTTGGAAGATGCTTGTTATGGCAAAATAACTGCCTGAGAACATTGAGAAATAGAAGGCTGACTTGAGTCTAGCCTGGCAAGGGTTTATATTTGTCTTAAGGAATAATCTCAACTCTGTAACAAGGGTGGTCTCTCTGAAAATGAGGTCATCAGAGGGACACTGCACAGAAGAAGCACAGCTGCCTGCGTGGCTCTAGAGCTGAGGACAAAGTTTCCAGCACGGTCTCTGCTGGCTTTCCCTGGCACAAAGAGTCTGAGCATGTTGGAGAGAGGGAAGGGAGAGATGAAGCTATCTAATGGTTAATATCATTAATTCTCTCCAAAATGTCTGGTCATGAGTAAAAGCTCCAGGGTTATTAAAGTGGAATTATTTCACTTCTGGTAGTTAGCAGTGTGGAAAATATTGTTGCATTATCACACTCATCTGTTTTCCTAGAAAATGATGTTAGAACTTGATTTTTAACTTTCTTATACAACATTTGAATCCATTCTGTGGGTTATCAAAGTGAATGGGGAGTGCAATAACACCTGCACAGGAGACTACCCTTAAATCTAGACACTGCCCCCCAAAGTATCCCCGAATGTATTCAGTGGGGTTCTACTAATTGTGGCATAAAGCATGAGACCAGGAAGTGCGTGATCTAGGTTCTGTTTCTACACTTCCTGTGTGAATGTGGTTGCTTAACCTCTCCATGCTTCAGCTTTTCCATCTATCAAATAAGGATCAAAATTCTGACCTGCCTCATGGGGGTGCTATAGGCTAAACTGCTTGCTTTGAGCTTCTCAGGTAGAAGGTGCTATAGGATACAAAATGTTATGGGAGTCTTCTTGCTTTACAGGAACAGTGACTAATGACTTAAGAACATCCCAGTGGGACGAAAGGAGAAATCATGGTTATTCCTCAGGAATATTGAAGTGCCCCTGGAGTAAGCCAACGTTCTTCTGAAACACTTATCAGTTGCTCTTTATACTCCAACAAGCTGTTTATGTACATGGAACAAAGTTCTGCATCTTGTTTTGTATTTTCTCTCCAGAAAGTGCCAGGAGGAACTCTTCTGAAAAATAAATAAAACAAAAGTGGACCCCCCTGGTGTTTTGGCTTCTTTGCGTGTGAGTGGAAGGAGAGGACTCCTATTGTAATGGTAGCAGCTGGGACCACCTGGTTAAAGCCACTGTTCAAGTCCTTGTGAAATGGCAGCTGTTGTGTGTTCCTTCCCACTCTAACAGGCAGCCTGCACCAAACATGCAGTTCACAGAAATATCCCCACCTCACATCACTTGCTGGACACCCAGCTGCCTGGGCTGGTTTTAGGAGGCACACAAATTCCAGTGTTCTGTCCCTACAACAATTGCTGTTAAGACTTAAGTTCTGTCCTCTCCAAGCATAGGAGAGTGCAAATCTGACTGTTTTACTGGCTTACCTAACTGATGCTGCTTCTTGAAACTTTAAAGAGTCTTGAAGTGAGCTAGGCTTTGAAACTGTTCCCTGCATAGTGACCTAATTAAACAGATGCATGTGCTATCTGACTGAGAGCTTTACCTTCACATCCCTAGCCCCCAATCTCTTTCTTTTCTGTATTAAGTCTAAGGTTTTATATCTGGAATGGGACAAAGATGGTACTTACAGCTCCTTATGCTTTGGCAATTAATTGTGCCAGCTTCTCTCTGGAGCTTAACATGTAGTTTAAGGTAAATAACTGTTTAAATGCCCCCTCCCCTCCCCCTTTTTTTCTTAAAGTACGCTATTTGTTCTCAGTTTGCTCTCTCCTAGCTGACCTCTGGTGGAAGGGTCTCTTTTGCATTGTCTCCACCCACAAGAGGTACCAGCTGTTAACTTCTACTCCTGTGGACTTTTTTTTGCTTTCACTGAACTCAGATCTATTCTCCTCTTCTTGTTGAGGCATTTGCCGCAAACTTTATCCTTTTGTAGCACAAGATGAGAATAATTGTTACTGGAGAGCTTCCTGCTCCTCTCTTGGTGTATGTGATCTATCACATGTTGTATGTCCACTCCACCAAGGCATCCTGTATGATAAAGGGAAAATTTATATAGGGCTTATTTTATAATCCTGGCTTGTTCCTGCACTGGTAACTTTAACACTAACATTAAAGGCCTGTGTTGATTATATTTCCTTTTTGAAAATTTATTCTGCTCCATGGTGAGCCAGGCAGAGGAAAGAATAACTTTCTCTCCAAAAAGAACACACACTGGAAAATAAAAATTGCACAATGCTTTTAAAATCCTCGCCAAAAAAGGAGGGGGGTGGACTTTGAGGAGGTGCTTAGAGATCAGAAAAGGCTTGAGAAACTCCTTCCTAATATTACTGGGCAACAGTAACTGGAGTTGGTATGGGCATTACAGTAATCATCCACCCCCACATCACTTTAAGGGGTTTGAGTACAAATCTCACTTGCCAAAGAAACATGCCAGGCTGTACCCAGAGTGAGCAACAGATTCATTGGATAAAACGGTTTCAGTGCCAGAGCAGGATTGGACTCTACCAAACCGTGATACCATCCAGCACCATTGCTAGAGCATGTCCTTGTTTTTTCCACCTCCTCTCCCTTGTTGGGCAGCATTAATTAGTCATTAAAACAGTTTATTGGAAACAGTAACTTTTTTCTTTCCAATTTTGAATCATTTTATCTGGCCCCAATTTTTAATTTGAGCTGTGTACTTTGGAGCCACGGCTCCTCTGTGGCTTGGAGAGGTTTTTTTGTTTAAGTTCTCTGTGTGCTGCAGCGCTAATAGCCTGGGAAGCTAATGGGTTTAGCCAGAGAGGAGAGCATCTCTGGGTAAACGACAAAAGAATCTTAAAGCTGTGGTGCCCTAAAAAAATATTCTCTGCCAACACTTGTGTATGAAAAGCGCTAGCTGATTGTGCGGCTTGGCCTTGAGAGAGAAATTGAACTAGTTTAGGTGACCTGCTTTTGCAAGGGTTATAAAGTTAACTTCCTTTCACAAAACAGCATGTATTGTCTGTGTGCTCTGGAGAATATTGCCCTTTTAAGCATTACTGTAAAATTCACCATTGTACGTACTGCAGGGCTGACCTCTTTCAATTTGCAGAAAGAAAGTGTGACTTTTAAAAAGAGGTAAGGACTGGAAAGGGATAGCTAGCAATTTAGATTGAATGTTCTCTTTTTTTCCAAGACCTCTCCGTTCTGGGTTTGTTGGTTTTTTGTTTTTGTTTTTTTAACTAACCCATAATTGGGCTTTGTTTGGCTTAATTTAAATTGTATTGGTTCAAAAATAGGTCTTGAACCTGTCCAAATAAATTATGCAAAATGGCTCCATGTGAGGGCAGGTCTCCTGTCTCACTCTATGGAGTAAGACTGTAATGTTCCTAACTGAGGTTGGACTAGGAATGGCTTCCTGCTGCTTGATTTCTAATTACATAAATGGAAGGGGAAAAAGTGGAAATTCTAAGTACCAAAAGGAATGTTAAATTTAGTATAATATGCTCATCTGGAAGCTATCACATTTTTCCTCCTTCCTTAAGCCTGCTGAAATCATTGCTTCCCCTCAGACTCTGTAGCATAATTTGGATCACTATCAGAGTGCACACAATATAGGCCGAAAACAGGCAGGTATTCCCACTGAGAACTTAGTAACTTCTCCACTAAGAGAACTACTTATGTCATCCCTGGTGCAATTTCAACATAATAGGAAAATAGAGGGTGGGAAGTGAAGAATAAAGAAACCATGTTTCCATCTTTTTTCTTTTTCTTTTAAATTGCTGACTAGAACTGTTTTTGACTGGTTAACAGCTCCCTAAGTGCCAGACCAGCCACAAATCTGAGACTCCTTAACAGCTTGATTAGATGTCGTCCGAGGCTTTGAAATGAATAAACAAGTCCCAGAAAAGCAGAGACTGCTGGAGGGGAAAAAAATACAAATGCAGCTTGATATTGTTGATCTTGGTTCTTAGTGTGTTGATCAAGATACTGTCTTTTCCTTGTATTTCAGTGGTGCCTAGGGACCCAGGGAGCTTGGTGATGTAAAAAACAGTCCGTGTGCAGGAGAGTTTTTAATATTAATAAAAGCAGAGAGTGGTACGCTTAGCCCCACTTTACGGATGGGGATCTGAGGTGGAGACTATAAATTATCTTGCCCAAAGTCTCATACACAATGTGACAGAGCTGAGAACTGAACCCAGGACTTAATTAGTTGCTTTAACCATCCTTCAATTTTGATTTATTGTCAGAGACTCTCCAGAAAGGCTGCTTACTCTTTGTAGTTTGGGAGTCATCAAAGTGGAGTTATGCTACAGCCCTTTCAGTCAGCAGACCTCATGCTCCCCGATTTATCATAGTAAAGGGAGATAGCTGACTGACACTGACTAGTCTTAGGGGTTGAGGGGATCAGGATTTCTATATGCTAGTCTCTGTTCTCCACCCACTGACTCTGTGTGACCTTGGAGTAAGACTTCTAACCATTTTGTGTTTCTGTTTCTCTTGTCAAATAGGAATAACTACTCCCTCCCATGAAGGCTGTGTTTGTGAAACACTGTGTGCCTCAGGTATAGATGGCCATTGCATTTGTGTGTTTACCTAGAGATAAGGTGTGGGCAGAGAAGGGGATGGTGGACGGAGCATTGTGGAACCCCCAGCTGGAGGGAGGAGAAGAAGATGAGGAAGATTTTCTGAAGGACTCACTGAAGGCATGATTAGAGAGAGAATACCACCAGGAGAGGACAGAGTCATGGAAGCCAGGAGAGGACAGGATTGCAAGAAAATTGGCGCATGAGAATGGAGTACTGCTTCTAAGTTGGGCTAGCAAGAGGTCATTTGTGACTTTAGGTGTGCATTTTCTTTGCTTATCTAGGAGAGTGGCTCCATACAGGTGTTATGGCTCAGGGGTTAAGCTTTAACTGTGGCCTGTCCCTGTATTTAGGCACACCTGCACTGGTCTGAAATGCAATCGCACAATTTCACCCCACTTTTAAATTACATCATCATGCTACAGCACTCCCTGTTTCAAGCAGTGTTACCTCCCGCTGGTCTGACTGACTTTGGACTTCTAATGACAGCAGGGACACCAGCCACCTTGTTCAAAACAAAATATTTGTCTGTACAGATATATGCTGGGAGAAAAAGGTTAAAACAATAGACGTGTCAATGCTTATTATCTTACCTAAGCCTAGCATTTCCCTTAAGCTGGTTCATATGACCTAGTTAGCCTTTGTGTTCCTAGCTGTTGCCCCCTTCTCTTCTTGAAGATCAAGATGCAGCCTGCGGACTTGTTTCCTCAAAAGCAGCTTGTAACTGTTTTCAAACTGTGTGAGAATTCCTACCCGAATGCCCCTGCAGTTTCAAGGTTGCAAGCTAGGATCACTCTTCTTCTTCTTCTCCTTCCTTCTGCCCCCCAAGTCCAGACTAGTGGAGGTAAGCCTCAAAGAAATGATCACCTCCACTGTTCCTTGAGTTCTGGCCATAGCTGCTGTCTGCAGCTGTTGCCTTTTGGTTCCTGCAGATCAAAGCAAGCAAAGATTGATTTTAAACCTTATTTACCCTTTAGCCAGCAACACCATTACCCTGAAGCCTACAGCTACCTAATATTCTTACAAATGTAACATAATTCTCATATTCTTCACAGCAGTGGAGCAGGATCCTTACCAGCCCATCCTGCCTCTGCCCCATTGGGCCTCTGTAAATCTGTTCCTAGCAGAAAATTGGCATGCAGGTACCTAGTCTAGGAGAGGATTACTATTTATCACTGGCCCTGAATGCTATAAACAATGTCCTATGGGTCTCCATCAACACAAGGGCCTCCTCCTATCGCTCCGTGACTACTACACTTCCGTCCATGAGCTCCTGCCCACTCCAGAGAACAAGAATTCAAATGGGATCCAATCCTTTCTCTTATTCTGGATCAGTAGCTTGATCCACCTGGTGGTAGGGAAATAAAACAAACAAATGAACTTGCCCCTATTTCCTGTAAACTGCTGAAGGGACTGGTACTGAATTTGGCAAATGGACTCAAGTTCCAGCAGGCAGGAGAATACAATGCAATGCTGACTGTGTCCAAGTACTCTGAGAGCCCTGCCTTCGGGCCACCCACAGTGAAATGTGCAACTTGAGTCA